AAATGAAAAGTTCGATGAACACAATAATAGACATGGTCGCCGTAATCGTGTTAGAAAGAGATAGGCGAGGGGAAATACAATGGCGAAGAAGAAACAAGACAAAATTTTTTTGCGAAATTCAATCTACGTCGAATGTGGATGCAAGTAATTGGGATTCAAAAAGATGATTAAAAAAAGGGAGTTCAAATTGGATGGGGAGCTTCTCTTGGAACTGTGAAGGGGCATCCCTCCAAGACGAGAGAGGGATCGTGTAATTGGTTAGGGAGACTGGAAATTGGTTTGGGCGGCAGTGGGTCTACCCAATTGGGTTTGCAGTCTTAATCCATTTAATTTAATCGGGGCAGTTAGTTGGACTAGGATGAAAACAAACTTAATGCGGCAGGAGCCTTTTTGTAATTTGTTTAGTTATTTAGTGGCGCAGTTAGGTTTAACAAACGTGAGCCGTGGAGATTGAAAATGAATGGTTAAGATCAGCCAAGGTACCCGTACCCGGATTTTGCCCTGGGCACCGTAGAAGTCACCATATATATATATATATGGGGCAAAGGCTAGCGTACGTCCGGGCGTACGCTAACCTAACGTACGCACCATTGAGTTTTGCTATATATATAATTTTAAGTGTTATCATGTTGGATGTACGGGGCATGTATTACCCATGGGTACCCGAAACCCACGGGTACGGGGATGGCTTTGGAAAACCCTCCCCCGCATGAGTATGAGACGAGTATGGGTTTGGATATTTGAAAGGGGGGATGGGGATGGTTTAGGCAAACCCGCCCCATTTTCATCCCTATGTATGGAGTATAAGAGGAGCATGTAGTAATAAAGCACTTTCTTTGATTCAAGAGTTGAAATGCATTCATCGTGTGGATTTCCTTGTTCTTCTTGTTCCGAAGAATACTCGCCCGTTGCTTTTAATGGGTGACTTTAATGAGATAGCTTCACACTCGGAGAGGCTGGGGGTTACATACATCCTCCTGAAGAATTTTTCATCTTGCCAGAAATATCAATGAATGCAACCTTGTTGATTTGGAATTTTTCGGTCCAAAATTTGATGAATTGTACCCACGATTCAAGAGTTTTGCTTGTAACTCACAAGCGAGAGAACGACTTAGAGTGTCAAAAGCCTTCTGTTTGTTATTATTTTGATGATAAATGAACTAATACCGAAAGTTACAAATATATAAACCATAAACCTAATACGTAACCCTAGCTAACCTAAACCCTCCCAATACCCCTAGTCAACACCGAAGCTAACTCCTAACCCTCTGCGAAACCCTAAAGGAAAAAGACCACCTAACTACTAACCCAAATGCCCAAACATTTGTTCTCACCAATCCTTCCCCCTCAAATAACCTTGCCCACTAGGTTCCGATGATGATGAATAGCGGGGAATGACCATCTTGTGGTGACGATGCTTCGGTCACCTCATGTACTTCCAAGTTTCAACTTGCAGTTTGCTCAGTCTTCTTCTTCTTCTTCCTCGTATTGGCCAGGTTGTGGTTCATCACCTGAGTCTTTTGGCTTCCAGATTTGATAGAAGCAGTGTTGACCAAGCTCATAACCAATTCTTTCAAATTGGTGCGATTGCGCCCCAGCGGGAATGGGGACAAGTATTCAATATCACAATCATCATCTTGGTTCGAAGGGAAATTCGACCTTATCTACTTATTTGGGAGCATAATAATTGGCTGCCCCAAAACGATATTCCCCTTGCATTTAAAATCAGGACATTACACTTGCGGACGACGCATTGGTGGCGACCTGTGGTGCAAACCTGAACATCTCCCGTTTTCTGAAGCAACTCCGATTCCCTTGCATCTAGCTCCAGTTGCGATCTCCTCCTTCTCGCAGCTCCCGAATCGTTGGATGAGGGCCACACCCATGAGCAATGTTTTCTTTCCCACGATCTCCTTGACGGAGTTCTTAATATCGTCCGCCACCCTGATTTTGTTGGCTTATATGCAGGCTACATCGTAGTTGCTCCGCTTCCCCTCAGTGATGGTTGTGCGGTTGTGGTTGGGTTCCAACCTTTGCAATGGATGCTCCCAATCACAGCATAGTGCCGCGATTCGATGACGGGTCACTGCGAGCTTCCCGCAATTTTCCTCGGCCTTCTTGCGAGTCTCATTGGTGCTTTGCACTAGAACGTGGATTGGGGCCAGGTTGAGAACCAAGCTCTGATACGAATTGATGAATCGTAAACCACTATTATTCAAGGGTTTCTCTTGTAACTAACAAGAGATAGAATGACGTAGAGTGTCGAAAGCCTTCTGTTTGTTATTATTTTGATGATAAACGAACTAATGCAGAAGTTACAAGTATATAGGCCATAAACCTAATATTAACCCTAGCTAACCTAAACCCTCATAATAAACCTAGACCTCTCGTCCAACACCCAAATCTAACTCCTAATCCTCTACGTAACCTAGAAGGAAAAAGACCACCTAACTACTAACCTAAAAGCCAAACATTTGTTCTCATCAAAATTCACTTGGATTAGGCGCGACCCGATATTTGAAATCCTCCAAAAGCGCCTGGATTGCGTCTTGTGCAATTCGGAATGAGACACTTCATTTCCCGAAGTTTCAATTACCCATCTAACTAGGGTAAAATTGTACCACTGTCCCCTGTTACTTCGTACACAGGGTGCACTCCCTCCCCGATTCCCCCAATAATCAAGCCTTTTCGATTTGAGCCAATGTGGCTACTGCATTGGACTATGCCTCGGTAGCCCATTCGACACTAAAAGCAGGTGATGACTTACTTGTCATTCTTACAAACATTCAAGATCAATCGTTATGTTGGAATAGAGAGAAGTTCAATAACATTTTTCGCAGGAAACACCGACTCATAACCCCTCCTTAGGGTTGTTGAAATTGAGCTTGATAATCGTCCATTTTAATTGACCTAGAGGTTACATGCTGCTCTCAGTACAAAATACACCACTATTATAGCCCAAGAAGAAGAAGCATTTTGACGTTCTAAATCAAGGGTACAATGGATACATCAAGGAGATCGATGCACCGAATTTTTTCATGTTTCAACTAAGATTCCGCTTAAACATAACAAAATTGAAAGGATCAAGGGATCTGATGGTTTATGGCGAGAAGATCCGGAAGCAGTGTTAGCGGAAATAATGGAGTTCTATAGCACTCACTTCTCAGCTCAATCTAGGCTTCAACCACTTCTTCAGCCATAATGATGCACAGACAGACGTAGCCTTATCACTAGAGTCACCCCCTTACCCATCTTGTGGCAAGACAACCAGATGGCAACGTTCCTCAAACGGTAACACGGTCACGACATTCCGGGTCATGATATTCTCCACCACTCATAATGCAGCACGTCCTCGTGCTAGTAAAGAATGCTTCTCTTTGCAGCATGTATTGCAACACTAGCACTGATTGTGGGCCTTTGCATACGATACCATCCTCTGATGGATATGCTTCATTCGCATCTCTCGTGCTAGCCTGTTGTGCCCCGTGCACATACCGCTTTGCCCCTCGACATCAACCTTCACTCTTTACTTCTGGTGCGCTAGTACCTCGGTCGACCTTCATCCTATGCTACTCCCAGTGTTTGTACCTCAATAGACCTTCACCCTACGCTTTCGCTAGCGTTAGTTCCTCGGTAGAACGACAATCTCGGTCGCTGCATCTTCAGCCTGTCGAGATCCCCCACAACGGCGCAACACATGTGTATCTGCGTCCGGACCGCCTGATGCACACCCAGGACCGCCTCTCATTCCGACATAGGGTTGGCTCATACTCGACCTATGTCGTACTGAGAGAGGAACTAGGCTCTTTGGCCTAACTAGGCTATGATACCACTTGTCACGGACATAGACTTCCGAAGCCCGTGCGACGTCTTGATGTGCACTCATCCCTCAAGACCAGCCTCCCCGCATACTCATGCCAACTGGCTTCGCACTGCCTTGGGCTCATCAGGGAGACGACAACAGCCTCCGACTAGTTGTGCCTTCGTTTGCAACAATCCCCTTCATAGCCACATCTTGACTTGGTCAGAACAACTCACAGGCAGACAACGCCTTATTAGAGTTGCCCCATACCCCTCTTGTGGCAAGACAACCAAATGGCAGCGTTCTTCAGACGGTCAACACGGTCACGACATTCCGGTAGACAATTCCCACATATATTATAACATGCATTGACATAGTTTGGGACAAGAATAGAGTAACCTCTGAATTTGAATTGAGAAGGAGAAACTTTACAATTTAGAACTTAATGGAGAGGAGAGAACCCCAACTCAAACATTTGTGCGAATGAATTTTGGAAGACAACAACTTGAGTGAAATTGAAATATGAATGTATAGAAAAGGATGGCAACCTGGATTGTTCAAATGTATACAAAATTTTGATTGATAAGATCGATCTTGAATTATCAAATTATAAGAAGTAAATGAATGGTATATGTTATGTGGGTAAATTTTGTTAACCTACACATTAATTGGTTTGGCATGGCTTATTATCAGGTTCTGAATTATTTGATCACTTGAATTTCCTTGTTGATGTATTCACTAAGGGTGTAGGACTTGTGGCTGGAGCCTCTAGTATTGTTTTCAAGGCTTTTTTTTACCTTGAGTTTGCTCAAACAAATTACCAATTATCGGAGGAAAATGTTACTGGACTTCCCTTTACTCTTTTTTCCTGTACTTTATCAGAAAACTTGTGTCATTTTCTTTCATACATAAAAAATTCCGTCTATCATTATTAGGAAAAAAAAAACATCTACCTTAAAAAGTAAACAAAATATAAGACCATCATTTACTTATTTTGTATTTTGTTTACAACACAGATTCACTAGATAGCTCCTCTAATACACACCAATTTCTGGTACAATACGCACGCACCAATTAACTGGTTGAATCAAATGGAGGCGACCTGCACCTTTAATCCACCACACGGGAAGAGATCAAACCTATCAGCATACAGTTGGGAATTTACAGTAGACTGCCATGGCAAGCAAATTAGCAGATGCTACAAAGTACGGGCGATCCTCTCCTGGACTTGCATCTCCGCGCGGAAGCTGGAAATGAACTCTTCAGCTCTCTCGTCGATCCCCGTCATCAGAGGCGATGAAATTCCCATCGACTCCCACATATCATCGTCATCATCAGCTTCTCCGTTGGCCTTAGCATCCACCGTGCTCTTCCCACTCGACGTCCCACAGCAGTGACGAGTTATCACAACCTCCGTCACGTTGCTGTTCGGTGGCTCCACTTTGAAGAGGTTGTCGACGAACACAGGGGCGGCACAACTCTTGTTCAAGTAGTGCAGCCGGAGGCGGCCGCGGCCGCCCTTTCTCTTGAAGGGCAGCAGAGCACGGGCCAGGCCGCCGCCGCTGCCTCGTTGTTGCTTGCTCTTCCGGTGCTTGGACTTGTGGAGGAAAGGAGTGATTGCTCCGTAGGGTTTGGTGGTGAAAGTGAGAGCGGTGGAGCTGTGTTTGGGTGGATGAAACTTCATGGGTTTTGGATTGTGGAGCTTGCTTCGGAGCTTGTTGGTGAAGCTCTTCCATGCCTTCTTGGCCGGAGGAAGCCGGAAGTTGAAGCACGACATGATTATTAGATTGAGCGGTGAAACGATCGAGATGCAGCGCTTGCTTTAATTTATTTATAAGAAGAGATTGTAGTGGCAAGTGGTAGGCAGTGGGATTCTTGTTTTGGGGGGCAAAGCGTGTCGGCTTTCCATGTGAACTTGCGAGGGGGGATCGTATTCCATTTTCACCCCGCCTTAGCTTACTTTCTACGCACAATATCAAAGATGTCGTAGCACAAAAATTCCTAACTGTACGCGCGCTTGTTTCTTACGCATAAGTTCTATTTTGCGCAAATATTTTTAGGAAAAAGGCAGCATTTTCACCAAACTTTTTGTGGATTCATTTTTATGTTATAAACGACCTACTTATGTTTAGGCACTCCCAATACACTCCACTTATTTTCATTGTGTAGCAACAAAATTATCTAAAGTAGATCCAACGTGAAGAACCTAAGCTTTGGGATGCATTTTCATATTCTAAATTTTCCAAAATATATTAATAATAAAGTATGTTTTTCTTGAAAACATGAATGATAAAATGCTCCAATATGAGACAAAAGAGTCTTTTTCTTTTCTTTATAACTGAAGCCTCAAGAAGGGACATGATCACATGTGGCATGAACAATAGTTTGTCAAATTGTATAAGAGATTATATGTACAATACCAAACTGATCCAAGGGTTATTAGATATAATCGAGATACTGCTAAATTTTGAGAAAAAAATTACCGTTTCATGTAGTAGTTTTCATTTTATACAAAAGTACAAAAATAGGAGGTAGGTTTTATGTTTAATTTTGCTCAAGTATTTTATAACTGGAGCCTGGATTAAAGGGAGATGATCAAGTATGAGAACTAGTTTGCGAAATTGTACAGAAGATTATAACGTACATTCAAGGGCAAACACATATGCTATTAGTGGTATCCACGAACAACCTTCAATTTGAGGAAAAAAGTTAACAATTCTCAAGTATAATTTTGAGTTTGGAATCAGACTAAAAAAATAGGAAGTAATCAACTAATCATAGAACATATTTATCCATTACATTACAGGTAATCTTCTATTACATTTAATTAAGACATTGGATTATTTGTACTTCGAGGCAAAGTTTATCAAACCTCGATTCTCCTTATTTTGCATCCAAACCATAACAACTAAATTCCTCCATTATCCTTTTGTCATTAAGGAACCAATAAATCAAGCAACAAGACTGTCGACTTCCTATTTTCAATGCGTGGCTTATTTTAGCTCGAAGAATAAGTTTGCTGCTTTTGATAACATGAAGCTGGCAAACTTTAATCAATTTTATCCTAATGATCAGGTATTAACTGGTCGTGGGTTCGATTACTGGTACCTTCTTCTTCCTCAAATGCATTGTTCTCAAGAATCTTCGCATGGGCCTCGGCTACTTATGGACCCGAATAAAGGGTATGGATTATGTATACGAAATGTGGAGGGAGGTCCAAACTCCAAACCATTAAGCTCGGCCTTAATTAGTGACCTCTCGACCCACTTGCATTATCCTGATATTCACTTTTAGGCATCCTTTAATCCAACGCTCTTACTCAATTGCTAGTTTGCTACATCATCTCTATCACCAAGGGCTAATATCAGCTAACTAGGGAAGTATCTTAGTCACATGACTAAGTCAATCTCAGTTATTGAACCTCATTAAAATCTAATTGTTCGTATTTATCTAGTTTAATGAAAAATAAAATGATAATTATATTATTTATTTATTTAACAATTAAAATAATAATTGGAAAGGTCGGTGTAGGGGTGACTCAAAGTGTGAGGAGTTGATTCGGTTAAATTGGTCTGAATTGATTCGGTCGAACATGTTTGCGGGAGGAGGTGGGAGGAAGGAGGAGAGCGGCGGCGGTGGCGGTGGTTTTGGGGAAAGAAGGAGGTGGGAGGAAGGAGGAAGAAGGGTGGGTCATGGGTTGGGTTGGGTTGGGTTGGTTTTAATGACGTGGCGGGTCGGATTTTATTTTTGTTGGGTTATATCCGGCTGATTAGACAATTCTGTTTGCCACATCAGCACTTAACGGACTTCATTAACGGAGTTGGACGGAGACTAACGGCGAATGACTAAATGCGTCCAGTTTTAGTAATTGTAGTGACCAAATTTGATATTAACTTTTTATAGTGACTAAACATGTCCCGATTTTGTAATCTCAGTGACCAAATGTGTCTTTAATCCATTAAGTTACTCCTAGGTTTGTGCCCGCCCGTTGGCCGGGTAAATTTCATTAACAATATATAGCCTATGTTTGGCCCGGCTTTTAGAAGTGCTTTTCGGCTTCAAAAGGTGAAGCAGGGCCAAACACCTCTAAAAGCTCAGCTTTTGAAAAGCCGAAAAACGCTTTTGTATAACATAAAAGCATAAGCTCCGATTTGGAGCTTCTACGAAAAGGTGTTTTGAAAATACAAGATTATCCTTATCATATTTTAATTTTATTTCAGAAAATATAATTTTTCTTCATTTATATTATTTTAAAAATAAATAAATTATAAAATCGTATTATTTAATATAAAAGAAATCTAACAAGATCCATTTTTACTAATTTTTATTGTTTAGAATTTTTATTCATATTTTATATTATAAGTCCTTTATATTCATTTTACACAACCGCTCAAATTAAAAAGCACTTCTAATAGTTTTACAGTCAAATACTAAACTGTTTTTTTTTTAAGTACTTATCTAAAAGCTCCAGCCAGAAACTGCTTCTGCAAAAGCTACAGCTGGGCCAAACTAAGAGATACTAACTGTTGGGCATGTGACTCGGGCCTCGACGCGCCAGAAGAACGCGTCGAAACCAAAGACATCCAGCGCACCAAAGATATCCAGCGCGAGCCAGTACGAAGACCCCCAGCGCGAAGGAGTTGAGCGCGACATCTCAACTCGTCCCGGCGCGTAGATCTTGAGCGCGGCACGGGCTACGCGCACGTGGAAGGGTCAAAGCGTAGACCAGAATAAAGTGATGTAGAAGGCGTCGTCTCATTTCCCGAGGGATGGTCACATCAAGATTCTAAGCACAGTCCTAGATAAGTCTCTGACATGTCCTAGGTAGAGACATGACTTAAATCCCTGGCATGTCAGTAGTCACATCGTTGTACCACCATGTAACACACCCACTCACCCACCACCATGTAGCCTATAAATATAGCATTTACTCCGGTGGGTGAGGGGGATCGGACTCTTGACATTCTATCTCTACATCGACTTCTCTCTCTAAACCACCAATTCTCTCAACTTCATCCTCTCCAATTCCTATTCCACGTGAGATCATTTATCATCCATTGTTTACTCTGCTTGACTCACTTTCTACCTCGAACCTACCTCCTACACTCAGTTAGGTTCAAACAATTGGCACCCACCGTGGGGCCAAGCAGAAAAACAAAAGAGAGCCGACTCATGGCAGATCATAACCCCTACTTACCTGACGAAGCAACGCCTATCAAGGCAATGACCAATCCAAGAGCGTTCGCGGAAACCAGCGACCTAAACGCAGTACTCATCGAAGAAGAAGAGCCCGAGTTGACCGCCAAGGAAATGAGGCAGCTGATGGCAAAACAAAATAATGCCATAGCCGACATGCAGAAGCAAATGAGCCAAGTCATAGCACTCATGATGAGCAAGGAAGCCGTGACAACAGTAGAGGCGACGCCAAGCGCGCCACAGCAGGCACATGGAGAAACGTCAGGGACTCCCCTGCCGCCACAACATCTGGCGTCAGAGCCCCCTGCGTGTGAAGCGCAACAGACCGAGCTGCCAGGAAGGGCGGACCTCAGCTTCTTGGAGCAGCACCTGTCCCCGCAATACCGATCCAACCCACCCAAGAGGGCGCTCCACCAACCGCTAAGCGCGGAAATCATGGCGGAGCACCTGAGCGGAATGCCACCTGCCCTCCCAACATATAACGGGACGAATGATCCCGAAGACCACGTGAGCACCTTCTGCTTGCGGATGCAACTCCAGACGAACTCCAACGCAGCGCTATGCAGAACCTTCCCATCCACGTTCTCCGGTATATGTCTGGATTGGTATAACAGGCTCCCAAACGGAATCATCCGTTCGTTTGAAGAGTTCATACTCTTATTCACGACAAAGTTCGCATCCCAGAAAAGAAGGCCTCTCCAACTCAAGGCGCTAATAGATATCAGGCAGAAGGGCGGGGAGAGCCTACGGGCGTTCTACGCCAGATGGTCGAGGGTGGCGATGGCTGTGCGCGATCTCACACCCGAAACCGCCGCTCATCACCTCATGGAAGCTACCACCAACATGGAGCTCAAGCGAGCATTAGCAAAAAGGCCCGTCACACTATGAATAGAGCTGGAGATGAAGATTGAGAAAGCAATCACATTGGAAGAAATGCTCGGTGCGGGGTCTGTCAGGCGCTTCGAACCAGCGAAGCCGCCCCAAGAAGAGCAGGGATGGAGACAGCTACCAGTGCCGCGGGAGCAATTGGCGCAACTACACAGCGGCCCAAAGCGCCATCCTCCACCCCCACCAGAACAAGCTCGTCGGGGATGATCGCCTGACAGGTTCCCTTCAAACGCCTATACGCCGCTCAATGAGTCGGTAAAGAACGTGTTCCACGTTCTCCGCGAGAAAGGTTACAAGATCAATTGGCCTGCGCCCCTGAAGGCTCCGCTGCACATGCGTGACCCAAAAAAGCATTGCGACTTCAACAGAGAAACGGGCCACGGGACGGAAGATTGCAGGGAGTTACGATACGAAATCGAAGGCCTCATTCGAAGAGGGTTACTCACGGAGTTTATCCGTGGAGCAGAGAACCAGCGCGAGCGATCAGTAAACCCACCACCACCCCCGCAAGCTGACTACAACAAGGCTACTGGCGCATACGTGGTGCGCAAGGAAATAGGGGTGGTGACAGTAGAAGGAGATCGTCCGAAAAAGAAAACCAAGCGCGAACGCGCATTGGAGTGCGCAGCGGCGGACGCTCAAACAAGTTGCCAAATCAGCTTTGATGACACCGAATTACCGAATTACCGCAAG